GGCCACTGTTGCATTTCTGAGGAAGAACAGCATGAAAGTGGTTCAGTGGCCGAGTATGACTCAGTATAATAAAACCAATAGGTGTAGGTGTATATGGGCCCTTAAAGGTGGACCTAAAATGCAAACACATGAATAAACAGGGCACTGGATTTATATTTTCTAAGGGTCACTGAAATTGTCATTAAGAACGCTAGCTTCACTTTGGCAGGATTCCACAAAATAGGGACCATTCTCGATTAAAAGGGAACGAACCTAGGGTTGCGAATTAGCACACATAAAATCCAATGAAAGTCCAAAACAAATGTCCAAGAGTCCAAGATAATGATAAAGTTGATTTGTAGCAGAATAGAGTCAATGCGTTTCAGGGTCCAAACACATTCCCCTTCACACGGCCTAAGAATTCTAGCTGTGCTTAAATGGACTCAAATAAGCAAATATTAAATAAAACTGCACTGTGATTTACTGCTTGGAAGCTTTCAGAATGGCAGGTTGTGCCAGCGTTAGTAATGCAGCAAAAGCTAAACCTAAAATGAACAGGGTGGAAAATAGTGGCCCTAAAGCTCTATTACTTGCATGGTAGAAGAAATGTATTTAGTAAGGTTGTCTAAGCCTTGTTCTGGTGCACTTTACTATATTTCTTTTTATGTGCTAGAACCTATAGGTTATTGGGAGTCGAGTACTCACATGAAATATATGTAAAGCGCTGAGCAAACTGTTGGCGCTATATAAATCCTGTATAATAATAATAATATAAAAATATCTAATGTACCGGTAAATAAGAAAAAATGCCTGCACGTGAATGGGTGTTGTGTCTGGCATAGGTTATATGGTGACACTTCCAAATTTGAAGGAAAAAATCTGCTCTCTTTCTTTGTATCTGTTGCCTCTAACATGTTCTTATGTATGGAGCAAGCTCCCTGCCCTCCTATATTATTATTACACGCACATTAAGTAAATTATACTTTGATGATAAGGGGGAAGGGAGGGGGAGGTAATCAGACAATATGAAGTAAATCCTTATTACTGAATTAATGCCATGATCTATAAGAGATCAGTTATCAATGCAGTTGTCAAACACCCATCTTACAGGCATTCGAGGAAGTTTTTTTCCCCTGCCCTTTAATGCCCCTCTATGTTAGCCTATGTGTCTGTGCATACATAGGCATTTACAGGTGTCAATCAGCAGGGGCAGAAAACTGAATGCACCAAAATCTCATTTAGAAGAGTATTTGGGAAGAGGACACACCTGATGCACCTAAATGTGTGTAAATCCACCTAACAGCTAGGCATTTAGTGCTTAAGCATTAATTTATTTCAGTTATCAGAATACATTTTTATTCTGGCCAATGAATTAATCAATGCTGGATTTAGACCTTGGGGGACCCAATGCACTTCAAGTTCAGGGGCCCCTCAACATAGAAATTAAATGATATGACAAATAAAGAAGTGAACTGAAAATAATGATAAACCTCATTTGTTGTAAAAAAAAAGATAAATTAGGTTCCAAACAAGAAACTTGTCTGATTTTTTTCCCCTCAATTTTACTAGCTGTAAAAATACACATTACACTGGAACTGGCAAGTCATACATCACAGTTATGCATCACACTACAATATTTACAAAAAGTCTTTGTTCCTGCACTTAGCAAATGCAAAATCTTTAACTAGGTTATCAAACTCTACCAAATTGAGAACAATGCTCTCAACAGCCAGTAGGCATAGAGCACTTAAGCCAGTTCAGCAGAGACTGGCCCAGATTTGATCCATGTATGGGCAGGCTGGTTGTACCCAAGTCTATCTATCAATTTTCAGAATGTGATTATTGCTAACTGCTATAGCCACTAGCAATAGTCAATGTGTTCTCCAAGCAGGGAGAACACAAGAGCTCTGTGGGAGGGATTCCCCAATCAACACTGACTGTAGTTATGGGCAAACAAGCAATTTTCTTTACCGCAACCCATGATTGCAGGAAAGAACATTGCATCATCTATGGCCTGCTTTTAGTCTTTCATAGGTCATTCTTGGTTCTCAGATCATTATTTTGTCAGTGCCAATTTGCTGAACAACCTTTCTTCCAAACAGCTAGTGACCATCATGCTCAAATATATTCCAAGAGCTACATTAACCCCTGGAAAGCCCTTTATCATGTACTAAAACTGCCTGTTGAGATGGATTGACACAAAACTGGAGCTTGGCAAATGCTGCAAACTGAACAATTTCCTCAACAAACACACTGCTAAACGCTTTAGGGAAAATAAGTTTAATTTTTTTATAAGTTTTTTTTAAAGGTCTTGGTCCCCCTCTGGCAGGGGGGCCTGGGGCAATTGTCCCTTTTGCCCCCTTATAAATCCTACACTGAATTTTATGAACACCCAAACAAATGATGTGCCTAAACTTGTTTCAAAACTGTGGCTTCAGACGTGTTTTTCGCTCTGCTTTTCTCCTCTCAAAGGAAAGGCTTTGAGAAGAGCCGAGTGTGCATGAGGCCTAAGACATACAGGTTCGTACAGGTGAAACTCGAAAAATTAGAATATCGTGCAAAAGTTCATTTATTTCAGTAATGCAACTTAAAAGGTTAAACTAATATATGAGATAGACTCATTACATGCAAAGCAAGAGAGTTCAAGCTGTGATTTGTCATAATTGTGATGATTATGACTTACAGCTCATGAAAACCCCAAATCCACAATCTCAGAAAATTAGAATATTACACGCAATCAATAAAACAAGGATTGTACATAGAACAATATCAAACCTCTGAAAAGTATAAGCATGCATATGTACTCAGTACTTGGTTTGGGCCCCTTTTGCAGCAATTACTGTCTCAATGCGGCGTGGCATAGAAGATATCAGCCTGTGGCACTGCTGAGGTGTTATGGAAGACCAGGATGCTTCAATAGCGGCCTTCAGCTCTTCTGCATTGCTCAGTGTCATGTCTCCCATCTTTCTCTTTGCAATGCCCCATAGATTCTCTATGGGGTTCAGGTCAGGCAAGTTTGCTGGCCAATCAAGCACAGTAATCCCACGGTCATTGAACCAGGTTTTGGTGCTTTTGGCAGTGTGGGCAGGTGCCAAGTCCTGCTGGAAAATGAAGTCAGAATCCCCATAAAGCTTGTCTGCGGAGGAAAGCATGAAGTGCTCCAAAATCTCCTGGTAGAAGGCTGCGTTGACCCTGGACTTAATGAAGCACAGTGGACCAACACCAGCAGATGACATGGCTCCCCAAATCAACAAAGACTGTGGAAACTTCACACTGGACTTCAAGCATCTTGCAGTGTGTGCCTCTCCATTCTTCCTCCATACTCTGGGTCCTTGGTTTCCAAATGAGATGCAAAAGTTGCTCTCATCAGAAAAGAGGACTTTGGACCACTGAGCAACAGACCAGGTCTGTTTTTCCTTAGCCCAGGTAAGACGCTTCTGACGTTTGTTGTTCAGGAGCGGCTTGACGAGGAATACAACATTTGAAGCCCATGTCCAGGATCTGTCTGTGTGTGGTGGCTCTTGATGCACTGACTCCAGCCTCAGTCCACTCCTTGTGAAAATCCCCAACACTTTTGAATGGCCTTTTCCTGACAATCCTCTCCAGGCTGCGGTCATCCCTGCTGTTTGTGCACCTTTTTCTTCCACACTTTTCCCTTCCACATAACTTTCTATTAATGTGCTTTGATACAGCACTTTGGGAACATCCAACTTCTTTTGCAATTACCTTCTGAGGCTTTCCAACCTTATGGAGGGTGTCAATGATGGTTTTTTGCACAACTGTCAGGTCAGCAGTCTTTCCCATGATTGTGATTCCTGCTGAACCAGACTGAGAGACCATTTAAAGGCTCAGGAACCCTTTGCAGGTGTTATGGCTTAATTAGCTGATTAGAGTGGGACACTTTGAGCCTAGAATATTGCACCTTTTCACAATTTTCTAATTTTCTTAGATTGTGGATTTGGTGTTTTCATGAGCTGTAAGCCATAATCATCACAATTATGACAAATCACGGCTTGAGCTATCTTGCTTTGCATGTAATGAGTCTATCTCATTACATTAGTTTCACCTTTTAAGTTGCATTTCTGAAATAAATGAACTTTTGCATGATATTCTAATTTTTCGAGTTTCACCTGTACTTGTCTCGTGCACCCCCTTTTGCTTTGTTAAACCAATTCCACCATCCTTAGACCTTGTCATTTCTATCAAGCTTCATTCTCCCCAGAATGAAGAAGTATTTGCAAAATGTGACAGCTGTTGCACATTGATGGCTTGTGATTTCCCATTACACATAAAAATAAAACCTGCTGTCTTGTGCTAAACAAGACTCATCTGTGACTAAATTAATTTAAGGAAATGCTTCACATATAGAAATAGACTAAAATAAATTGCCAATCAGTCTTTTTTGTGGAATCAAATCTCAGCACACGATTAGGTTTAAAGGAAATAACTATTCTGAATTGCTTCTACAAGTCAGGCACTGCAAGTCTGATTGATATACTGACTTTAAATGAGGGTTTAGAAGGTTGGGCCGAACACATTTTTTCCTGTGTTGCTAAGCTTCTTTTACATTTCTAGTGGATTGTTGGAGGTGAAATGTGAACACAAGAATGTTTCAAGTCTTCTGTCTGCCATGACATCGTGGAAGTTGAAAATGAGTTCCAAGAAGCAGGTAATGAGCTGGCACAGAAAGCAATTTCTCCCATTCACTAATAATTATCAAGGGAACAAAATCAGTAATACACATCAAATTGTAATGTTGTGTTAAAACACAATTTTTACATATCTGAGAAATACACTTGTAAACAAGGATTTGACATGGATTGGGATTTGGTCACTGCAGCAAATAAAAAAAAAAACTTTCATTGTTGTGCTTCTGAACTATATGACCACATATTAATGCACTGCAGCATAGGAAGTTATTTAACTAGGCACAGAAGAGTGAGCATGTCAGTTTATTATTGTCTTGCTATAGCAGGTAAGGAGGATTTAACACGACTTTCAAAACTGCTTGCTCTCTCCTCTGGTTTATGCTAAAGATAGATAATATGACAAATATGTAGGGCGACCACTGACATTTGTCAGACTGCTTTAAGCCACAGCTGCAAATCCATAAAATGGAGGTAAGAGTGCGGCACCAGAAGACATTTTTTGAAAGTCATAGACAGCTCTCTCCTATGGTTGGGCCTCAGCTACTGTTTTGTTATGTATTTGGGGTTGTATTCAATATATGCAAATAAAGATCACACAAATACTTATAAGTAAAACATTTAATAAAATAATGACAGATACAGATAATAGAAAATGAAACAATAATACTTAACTAAGGATGTGGTTTCCACCATGGAGTCCCATCTGCATGCGCAGTGTAGCACAGGTGATCACAGACGCATGTATGATTGCAAGCTCTGAAGACAAGACTGAGCCTTAAAAGTTATGACAGAGGTAATATAGGACTTAAATGTAAGGAAATGGTCAACTACCCTTGCAAGTAATGTGACCTTTTAAGGACTTGGTCAGTTTGCAATCACACATTCCTGAAAGGAGAGTAGTGGGCTGGCTTGTTCATATAGTCAGCTTACAATTAAATTACTATAGTCAGCTAAGGTAACCAGAATAACCAGGATATTAGAGGTTTTATTAGATATTTATGAGGCAAACATTAATAAGGAAATATGTAATATGCAATTTACCCATCAGCTACTGGGAGAGTGAAAAGATGGCAGCTAGCAGACCAGGGGCGGACTAACAACTCATGGGGCTCCTGTGTCCTTGCCCAAACTCAAAAAAGCCTATGAAAAAGCTACCAGGGGCATCTCATGGGGCCCCCTACTGACCCCGGGCCCTCAGGCACTGCCCGAGTTTCCAAATGGTCAGTCCGCCCCTGTAGCAGACTTACTTACAGGTATATGAAAGTAAACTGCAAAGATATTATTATTATTATTATTATTTAATATACAGGATTTATATAGCGCCAACAGTTTGCTCAGCTCTTTACAATATAAAGGGAAACAATACAGCAATGATACAATGCAATACAAGAAGGTAAGGAGGGCCCTGCTCCTGGGAGCTTACAATCTAATAGGGAGGGTCTGGTGGTACAAAAGGTAATAACTGTAGAAGATGGACTGATGGGAGAAATATAAGCTTTGGTTATTAGCTGGAGGCAGGATAGGCTTCCCTGAAGAGATAGGTTTTCAGGGATCGCCTAAAAGTGGGCAGAGTAGGTGCTAGTCTGACAGACTGGGGTAGAGAGTTCCATAGGATGGGGGAGGATCTGGAGAAGTTCTGGAGATGAGCACGAGAGGAGGAGACAAGGGATCTAGAGAGCAGGAGGTCTTGGGAGGATTGGAGAGGACAGTTTGGGTGATATTTAGAGACAAATATGTTATTGTTAATGTTTCGAATTTTATTCGTTGGGCAATGGGAAGTCAGTGGAGGGATTGGCAGAGAGGACTGGCATACATGGAACAGTTGCTAAGGTGGATGAGTCTGACAACAGCATTCATTATAGACTGAAGCCTGCGATTAGGTAGGCCAATGAGGTGGGAGTTACTGTACAAGTATAGGTCCCGGAATGAGATTGCAGCTTGATCAAGGTGTGGAAGAATGACCAATGGTGTTATTATGTTTGATAAAACCCTCATGTTCAGAATTATGGCAAATAACTTCTGTCATAAGAGGACCACTGCTTCAGTTTGCAGGGAAAAGGGGAGGACTTTCTACAGATAGATGAAAGACACTGATGAAAAACCACTGGTAGAGGAATCTCTGTCAGATCTTATATAACTGAGTTGGCTCATGGAAGGAAACCTGCAAATCAAGTCATGGTGGGGGATAGGTGTGGCTGGGCTGTTTAATATATGAAATCATTACAAACACAAATTATAAATTCATATTACAGCTACAATGTCTTAGAAGCAAATAATTTCAGATCAATGGAGTACAGCAAACCTCTGTTTAATATATGAGGGGCATTCAAGTGAAACCGGGACTTTTAATTTTACAGGTATAAAAAGGGATGCTCCGGTATTACATGCAGTAGTAAGTGGCAAGTGTGTCCTATTACTGATAGGCGGTGCACATGTCGCAAACTAGTCCAGAGACCGTTAATCAAGATGGCGGGCAACAGTGTTGATGCATGCAGTGTGTGATGATGAAAAGTTTCATGAGAACAAAAGCATAAAACCTGCGGATATCTACAGAAGACTTCAAGCACAGTATGGTGATGAGACTCAGCCACAATAAGACATTTGAATGGTGTAAACGTTTCAAAGATGGCCGTATATCCGTCAGTGACAATCCCAGCCATGATGGTTCCCAGCCCACAGCAGTCATTCCTCTGAACATTCAGTGCGTGGAATGCCTGATCTTGGATAATAGACACATAACCTGTTGTGAAATTGCACAACAGACAAATCTTTCTGTGGGAGTGGTGAACACTGATGACAAAGTGAAGCAGGTTGTCCTAGGATAGTTCAGGCATACTGGCTAATCTTTCTATGCCAAAGCTTTCCAGGCATTAGTTAAACACTGAGATAAGTGTATAAATGTAGCAGGGGAGTATGTTGAAAAATAAATGCAGTTTCCACTTCTTGAAATTTGTTCTTTAATTATATAAACTCAAAAGTCCCAGTTTAACTTGAACGCCCCTCGTCTAAATAGTTTGATATAAAGCAGAATGTAATATATTGTCTCCCACACAAACAAATGCACTCATCCCTCCAAAGACCTCAATGTTATAAGAGGTCATAAGCGAGCTAAATAACATCTTTCTGTTTATCCAGGGGTTCCCCACCACAGCAGCAGGATGTTTTCCTCTTTAGGCCAATAATGCATTTTTACCCCCTCTCCTTCTTTGTCAGAGACAAAAATAAACACTCCTAGTGCTCTCTGTATAATGATTTATTAAAATATACAGCAATATTATACTCACATAAAAAAAAGTGGCATATAGCTTTAAGGTGCCGATACAGAGTATTTTCACAAGTACTCATACTCATACTTGTGAAAATGCTCTCGGTACCAAAAACTGATACTTTGTGGTGTGATTTGCACCAATTTACTGCCATTCTTTGCAGTGAGATTCGCACCCATTCATTTTGGATGGACGCCAATTGCACTGAAAAGTTTTGGTACTTGATATGGGTAAGTACCAGGGGCGGACTGACCATTTTGAAGCTCAGGCACTGCCCGAGAACCCGGGGTCAGTAGGGGGCCCCATGAGATGCCCCTGGTACCTTTTTCATAGGCTTTTTTGAGTTTGGGCAAGGACACAGGGGCCCCCCTGATCCCCTATTGCCTGGGGGCCCCATGAGTTTGTCAGTCCGCCCCTGGTAAGTACTTGTCCAAAAGAATTGGTACTCACAGATAAAAAAAAAGGGTATAGGTGCATCCCTAGCTTTAGGTATATCCACCACAATGACTCACACAGTGACTTTTGGTTAGCATGATGACATAATGCGCCTGTCAACACCTCACACATTACACCCACAAAATATGACCCATAAGTGGTTCCTCTGATGAAGCAACGTCTTGTGGGCGTAACGTGTAAGGTTGAGACAGGCGCATTATACCATCATGCTAGCCAAAAGCTGTTGTGTGAGTCAGTGTGGGAGAACATACCCAAACCTGTGCTTGATTGCCGCATGATCCTGTCCTAAAGCTATATGCCACTTTTTATGTGAGTACAATATTGCTATATGTTTTTGTAAATAATTATACAGAGAGCACTAGGAGTGATTATTTATTGTCTCTGATGGAAGAGGAGAGGAGGAAGAACTAACCTAGGTAGGGAACCATCTTGCTGCTGTGGTGGTGAACTGCTGAATTAACAGACAGGTCAACAAAAACAAAAAGGACTCTCACCGTGCCACATCCTAAATATATGCAAAAATTGGAACAAAATATTGTTGCCAGAAAAATGTGGACTTTATTGGCACAACAAGAGGCAGTAAATATAAAATCATACACTTTATAAATATTATTATTCAGTTAAAATCACAGTGTAAAAACAAGGAGCAACACCCCAGACCACTCATGTCCGATGAGATGGAGCAAAAAGAGGACACCATGGCGTGTGTATCTCAGATTCAATAGATTGTCCACAAGGTTAAACAAACTCTTGCATGATGTGCAATGTTTTCATTGTATCTGTGTCCATGGGTTCTCCTTACTCCCAACCAGTCCTGATGAAGTGCTAATCTTCGTGAAACGCGTTGGTTGGGTGAGTGTAGCTCTAAAATATAAGATACAAAATATAAATTTCAACATATCCACAACTTGTTGCAGATACTTGTGAAACACGTTGAATTTTGAGTATGGCGAACCTATGGACACCAATACAGCGAAAATCTTGCTCAGCATACATAGTGACTGTTTAACCTGATGGACAAGCTATTGAGCTCATACACATGCTATGGTATCCTCCTTTTGCTCCATCTCAGGGTTGGGTGGTAATAAGTATTGGACATTGGTCTGGGGTGTTGCTCCTTGTTTTTACACTGTGATTTTAATTGATCAGTAATAAAAAAGGGTATGATTTTATATTTACTGCCTCCTGCGGTGTCCAGCTTTTTCAGAAAGGTGCTATATATATCGAAGTGCTTGAAGTGTTAGTGTAAATTCTTCATTACATTGGTGGTCAGTGCAAATTCCCCATTACATTGGTCATCAGTTTTTATCCCCCCTAACATTGGTGTGGAAATGTCACCTCATCCCCATCCAGCACTGCCACTGATCCCATCCACCTCAAGCACTGCCATTGATCCCATCTCCTCAAGCACTGCCACTGATCTCATCCCCCCATCAGCACTGTCACTAATCTCACCCCCCCAGCACTGCCACTTATCCCATCCTCCCCACCACTGCCACTGATCCCATCAACTCTCTCCCCAGCACTGCCACTGATTACACCCCCCCAGTATTGCCCATGATCCCAGAAGTCTTAGGATGTTTCTGTCTATTGGTGGGTCCCCTAACCTTTTCAGTCCATGGTGTGCAGGCAGCGAGGAGATGATGTGCTGTAACCTCCAGCAACCAATCAGTGAGATGTAATTAAGTGCTGTAACCTCTAGTAATCAGTCAGTGACCAGTAAGAATGTGCAGTAACCTCTAGCAACCAATCAGTGAGAAGCAAGGATGTGTAGTAACCTCTAGCAACTAATCAGTAAGCCTTAATGTCCTTAATGTGTGCTATAACCTCAATCAATTGCAATTGCTGCCTGATCTGCTGGGTTATTTTGAGTTTAGCTGCTATTTATTGTATGTCTCAGAGCAGGTGGAGGGTAAAGGTTCATGGGGGGGGGGGGGAAGAAAATGTTTACCCAGGGTCCCATCAATATTAAAGATGGCCCTGACAATATACCAAGCTGTACCAAATTACACCCAGTAAAGTAATGATCTTAGTAAAAAAGGTGATCATAGAGGGGGGTAATTTTGTTAATTTTTGTGTGCCAAAGATTGTATGTCTACAGTCAGCAAAGATGGAACTAATGTAATATACAACAGTGAAACAACAACTCTAGAATGTTGATTTTCAAGACTGAGCTTAAAAAAAAGTCATGTATGAAAGTACTAATGAAAAGAAATGTTTATGGGCAAGGAACGTGGAGAGCTGGAAGAATCTCCTTTCCTGTGAAAACCCCTTAAATGATACTGGATGCCATGGAGAGCTACACTAGTGCGATAAAATCTTTATAAAACTAAAATAAAATCTTTAAAAAACTAAATTAAAGTGACAGGCACACATCTTTCTAACCTTCCAAAGACAAGACATGTCTAAGACATTTGCAATATATTAATTAGTGAACTGAAGGTCATTATCTAGTGTTATCAGTAAAATAGCATTACACTTCTAACATGTGAAAAAATATGGGCAGCACAGTGGGTAAATGGTTAGCACTTCCACCTGGCAGTACTAGAGCCAATGGTTCGAATCCCAGCCATGGCACCACCTGCCTGGCGTTTGCATGTTCTCCCTGTGCCTGTGTGGGTTTCCTTCAGGTACTCTGGTTTCCTTCCACTCTCCAAAGACATGCTGGTAGGTGAATTGGATCCTGTCTAAATTGGCCCTAGTATATGTATGTATGAATGTGAGTTAGGGACCTTAGATTGTATGCCCCTTGAGGGTTAGGGACTGATGTGAATATGCTATATATATATAAAGCACTGAAAAAATTGACAGTGCTATGTAAGTACCTGTAATAGATAAAATACAAATTAAGGTTGCATTCACAGTTGAATTGTCAAACTTGTGTTTATACACGTTCAACGGACGGGTTGCTTGTTCAAATCCTGGCCACAGCACCACCACTGCCTGGAGTTTGCATGTTCTTCCTGTGCCTGCGTGGGTTTCCTCCCACACTCCCACTCCAAAGACATGCTGGTTGGTTAATTGGCCCCTGCCAAAAAAAAAAACAAAAATGGCCCTAATATATGTATGAATGTGAGCTAGGGACCTTAGATTGTACACTCCTTGAGAATTAGGGACTGATGTGAATGTACAACATATATGTAAAGCATTGTGTAAATTGACAGCACTATATAAGTACCTGTAATAAATAAATAAATTAAAAAAAACTATTAAGTTGAAAGACAGGAATCTGGAGTGCTGTATCTAATGCACTGACCAGCACAATCACTAGATGTCAACCCTACAGAGCTACAGCAGGGGGTTGAAATGATCCAACAGGCAGCAAGAATGTCAAAGATCTGTAATTGCTACAAATTAAGGATTATCTGATGGATGTAAAGAGAGATAGGCAACTGTAACCCTGGCAGCATGTTATTTGGTCAGATAATACTGAGCCTGACATGCTGATGACATTGATATTTTATATTGAGGTCTCAAGGAATACTTTATATTACTAGAACAAGGTGTGGTAGAGATGGACCTAAAGGTCAGCTGTGTCCAATCCATAAATACGTTTTCACCTAGTAAAAGACAGAATGGGAAAACTTGAACTGTTAGAAGGTCAAATTACAATGGAGCTTTCTTATATTGTTTACAAAGATAGAAAAAAATGAATCAACTCAAAGAAATGAAAACTTTACATTAAAGATTCTATGGAGAAAATACAGTATTAATGTAATGTATGCAATGTTAGGAAGTTTACGCGATTAATCAAGTCAGTGATATTTATTTATTCAGTCGGCATACAACAGTACTTCTAGCTTTATGGCATAAAATAAAAATAATAAGTATAAATATACTGACTCAATTAATTATTCTCTGAATTTGTTACTCTGTATAGATAGTTTTAAGCACAATAAAATTATAGAAAAGTATAGACTGTGGAGAAAGAAAATAAATAAAAATGTATTTAACAATTAAGTCACTAACAATCAGGTAGATCAGTAGGATTATTCATATGACATAGACACATTTGAATTAATATTCTGCAACTAAAAACGCAATTAACCGATTGACCTCCAGAAGATTTTCCCCCCTTCATGACCAGGCCATTTTTGCTTTTAGCCATTGCGTTGCTTTAAACTGACAATTGCGCGGTCATGCAACACTGTACACAACATTTATATAATTTTTTTTTTCACAAATAGAGCTTTATTTTGGTGGTATTTGATCACCACTGTTTTTTTGTTATGTGTTGCGCTATAAATGAAAAAAGACCAAATACTTTGAAAAAAAAAAAACAAACATCTTGCTTGAGGTGATTGTAGCCATACTGTATAAGGGCACTGGCAACAGAAACAATTAAGCACTGTCTGTGATACCTTTTTATTTGCACTAGCATACAATTTTTCAGGACAAGCTTTCAGGGTATGTCCCCTTCTTCAAGGTCTAAGCAGTACTAATGCACAAAGTTTTACTAGAATTTTAACCACTTGCCTCCTGAAGATTTACCCCCCTTAATGACCAGGCCTCTTTTTGCTACTCGGCGCTGCACTAATTCAGCTGATAATTGCGTGGTCATGCAATGCTGTACCCAAACAAAATTTATGTACTTTTTTCACACAAATAGAGCTTTCTTTTGGTGGTATTTGATCATCTGTGCAGTTTTTATTTTTCTCGCTATAAACAAAAAAAGGCTGACAATTTTGAAAAAAAAAACAATATTTTGGACTTTTTGCTATAAAACATGTCCAGTAAAAAAAATTTAAAAATCAAATGTCATAAATTTCAGCCAAAATGTATTCTGCTACATGTTTTTGGTGAAAAAAATCACAATAAGCGTATATTGATTGCTTTGTGTGAAAGTTATAGCGTCTACAAACTATGGTATAGATATTGCAATTTATGCCATTTTTTTTGCTATACAGCACTGCACTAGTTTAACGGACAATTGCGCGGTCATGCAATACGGTACATAAATGACATTTATGTACTTTTTTCAAACAAATAGAGCTTTCTTTTGGTGGTATTTTATCACCTGTGCGCTTTTTATTTTTGTGGCACAATAAACAACAATTTTTGAGAAAATTAAAAAAAATATATATATATATATTTTTCTCATTTCTGTCATAAAAAATATCCAAAAAACTAACATTTTGTCATAAATTTAGGCCAAAATGTGTTCTGCTACATGTTTTTGGTTAACAAAATCCCAAAAAGTGTATATTGATTGCTTTGTGTGAAAGTTATAGCATCTACAAACTATGGTATAGATAATGGAATTTACACAGCTTTTCCTTTCTGACTGCCCATCACATTCCTTGAGGTACTAAAATACCAGGATAGTACAAACACCCCCAAATTACCCCTTTTCAGATAGTAGACACCCTAAGCTATCTGCTGAGAGGCATATTGATTCCATGGAAGATTTATTTTTTCCACAAGTTTCTGGAAAATGACAAAAACTTTTTTTTTTTACACAAAGTTGTCATTTAAATTATATATTTCTCACACATATATTTCTCGCCATGGGTATATGTGGAATTCCAACCAAAAACACATTCTGCTACTTCTACCGAGTATGGGGATACCACATGTGTGAGACTTTTTGGGAGCCTAGCCACATACAGGAGCCTGAAATCCAATGACCACTTTCAAAGCCTGAAGGTGCGTAACTTCCTCATTACACTTCCTCACTACCTATCACAGTTTTGGAGGCCCTGAAATGCCAGGATAGCACCAACCCCCCCACCCCAAATTACCCATTTTTGGAAAGTAGACACCCCAAGGAATTTAAAAAAGAGGCATGATGAGTATTTTGCAGATCTCATTTTTTCTCACAAGGTTTTGAAATATAAAAAAAGAAAGAAAAAATATGTTTTAATTTTTTTCCTTCAATTTTCAAAAACTTGTAAAATACTCACCATGCTTCTGATCAAATTCCTTGGGGTGTCTACTTTCCAAAAAGTTGTCATTTGGGGGGGTTTGGTGTTATCCTGGCATTTCAGGGACTCTGAAACTGTGATAGGTAGTCAGGAAGTGTAATGAGGAAATAAAGCCCTTTAAAAGCCTGATAGTGCTTATTGGATTTTGGGGTCCTGTACGTGGCTAGACTGCCAAAACATCTCTCACATGTGGTACCCCCATACTCGGGAGAAGTAGCAGAATGTATTTTGGGGAGTAATTCCACATATACCCATGGCATGTGTGAGCAATAAATCATTTAATTGACAATTTTGTGTAAAAAAAAGAAAACATTTTTTGTTTGCCATTTTCCAAAAATTTGTGGTAAAAAAATAAATTCTTCTATTTGATTCAACATGCCTCTCAGCAAATAGTTTGGGATGTCTCATTTCCAAAAAGGGGTCGTTTTGGTGGGTGGGGGCGTTTTATGCCCAGCATTAGAAGTTTATGCCACACATCAATCATTCTTCTAACCACCTGAAGACCAAGCCTTTTCTGACACTTTTTGTTCACATGAAAAAAATCTGTATTTTTTGCTAGGAAGTTAATTTAAACCCCCAAACATTATATGTTTTTTTTAAATCAAACACCCTAGTGAATAAAATGGTGGGTGCTTCAATTTTTTATGTCACATAATACTCGCGCAGCGATTTTTCAAACGCAATTTAAAAAAACAAACACTTTTTTTACTTTTAATGCACAAAAACACTAAATAGTGGCCAATTATTTGGTAAAATATAAAAGATGATGGTATGCTGAGTAAATAGATACCAAACATGACATGCTTTAAAACTGTTCATGCCCCATGCAATGGCGACAAACTGCATACGTTTTTAATATCCATAGGCAACATTTTAAAAGCCTTTACAAGCTACCATTTTAGATTTTACAGAGGAGGTCTAGTGTTAGAATTACTGCCCTTGATCTGACGTTCGTGGCGATACCTCACATGCATGGTGCAACTGCTGCTTCCATACTGGCACAGAGTCATGCTCACAAACTTTTTTTTTAGTTATTTGGATTTTTTAATTATTTTTACACTGTCCCCTTAATTTTTTTTTTATCACTTTTAATGCTATCACAGGGAATGCAAATATCCCCTATAACTTCAATGGGCATTGTCATATATTCTTTTTTGAGAAATCTGGGTTCTGTCAGACTGTAGATATCTCCTCTGCTCTTACATTATCTAATCAAACCAAGATCAGTGTGATCAGATGTTTTCAAATTTACAAATGGCGCTGTTTATATCCTGTGAAACTGAAGTTGAATTACTGAAGTGAATGCTCGTAGCTTCCAATTTCTTAGGCTATAGAGATGATTGGCACCATTCTGGTCTCCAATCAGCTCTATGGTCAGCTAGCAGAAACACCGGCTGCATTCTCAGGTTGCCCCGAAGGCACGGAACTGCCAGAGAAGGCTGTGGAAGGCAGTGGGGGAGGGGGGCATCTGCTGCTTATAAAAGCAATCCTGCAGCTAATTAGCCACTAGGATTGCTTTTACATGAAAGCCGATTACTGGCTGAAAAACACGATACCAGGATGATACTTAGTACTGTGAAAAAAATTTGTAAAAAATTTGTAAAAACCGAGGCATTATTTTCAATATATTTTCATTTGTAAACCGAAAATTATGTTAAAAGAGGCATTCGTAAACCGAGGTATTACTGTATATGCTATGTTCTTTTTTTTTTTGTATGCAGCCTGTGGACTGAATGAAAAAAAGAGAAGAAATCTCTGCCAGAAAAAGTGTGTGGTATGCCCGTTGGAATATACAGCACTGCATCCACCCACTTCTAATGGTGGGCACACATTAGGTCACACTTTGCCACAAGTGCCAGTTCCAAGATTGAATAAATGTCTAAATAGTGGCACGCTTGAATAAAAATTGTCCACGTATAAGTGGTACCCCATATGGAAAAAGGATGACACCAAGTCGCAAACTATCTTGCCAATACTCCCCATGTAGTCTGGGCATCTGGGGGGCTCCACGTGACTATCTTTACCCTCGGAAATCCAAACAATACTTGTGCTCACCACCAGCTTGTACTACACTTATGGGACTTGCCACGTCGCCAAGTCATACTGCAGTCAAAATATTTTTGACTTTTTGCTATAAAACATGTCCAGTAAAAAAATTTAAAAATCAATTTTTGTCATAAATTTCGGCTAAAATGTATTCTGCTACATGTCTTTGCTAAAAGAATCCCAATAAGTGTAAATTAATTGGTTTACGTGAAAGTTATAGTGTTTATGAATGGTGGCGGTATATATACTGGAATTTTTTTTTTATACTAATAATGGCGGCGATCAGTGACTAATGGCGGCGATCAGCAACTTATGGCGGAACTGAGGGACTGCGGCGATTATTCTTACACTGGGGGGGGAATTGACTTGGGGTCACTGACATCCCCAGTGACACCAATACAGTGATCAGGGCAAAAAAAAAAAAACACTGACACTGTACTAATGGCACTGGGTAGGAAGAGGTTAACTTTTTTAGGCAATCAAAGGGTTATCTGTGTGAGGGGAGTGTTTTACTAGTGGGTGGGGGGTGTGTACTTCACTGTTGCAAGCTGTCCCGGAAAGCTAAGCTCTGCTCTCCGGATCAGTGAGCTGAGACAGGGAGCAGAGCTGCATTGAAAACAATGCAGCTGTGCTCTGTGTCACTGTTTGCCGGCAATCGCCAAGACCCGGCGAGTAATGACTGGCTGGGACCTGGTGATTGTCACCCACGGCTGCGATCGGCGGCGCGGGTTGGGCAGTCGCCCGCCTTGGGCGTGCCCCTACCCAATATGTAAAATTATGTATATATACATTGATTTTGTGCAGCGGTGCCGCCCTACCGCAGTATATGTACTGTGGCTGGTCGTCAACCGGTTAAAGTAAGACAATGTCTGAGTGAAAAAAAATCAAAACAAACAAATATACACAGCAATGGCAATTAACCACTTCCCGTCCACCTTATAGCAGAAATACTGCTACAGGGCAGCACGGGTGCTCAAAATCAGGTATATATACACGTGATTTTGCATTTCCAGGTAGGGGGCACGCGTGTGGCCGCGGCTGTCAACCACTGAGTCCCAGCCGGTAATTACTTGCCAGCGCCTGGTGATTTCCGACAATCTCCAACAGGGAGCAGAAATGTTTTGTTTACTAACAGTTCTCCTCCCTGTCAGCTCGGGTTCACTGCTTTGGATGGCTGTGCACAGCACAGCCATCCAATGCAATGTGCTTACAGTGAAGCACACTGATATGGCCCCCTATGTAAAACACTACCAGCACACAGTTAACCCTTTGATCGGCCCTCATGTTAACCCCTTCCTGCCCAGTGCCATTAGTACAGTATCTGTGCTTATTTTTAGCACTGATCACTGTATTGGTGTCACTGGGGATGTCTGTGACACCAAGTCAGTTCCCCCCAGTGTCAGAATGTCCGCTGCAATCCTGCTATAAGTTGCTGATCACCGTTATTATTAGTAAAAAAAAATACCAGTATATATACTACCATTTGTAAACGCTAGAACTTTCATGTAAACCAATTAATTTACATGTATTGGAATTTTTTTTTTAGCAAAGACATGTGGCAGAATACATTTGGGCCTAAATTTATGATGAAATTTGATTTTTTTAAAATTTTTACTGGACATGCTTAATAGCAAAAAGTCAAAAATATTGTTTTTTTCTCAAAATTGTGTCTTTTTTTTTATAGCGCAAAAAATAAAAAACACACAGGCCATCAAAGACCACCAAAAGAAACCTCTATTCATGGGAAAAAAGGACGTAAATTTCATTTGGGTGCAGTGTTGCATGACCACACAACTGTCAGTTAAAGTAATGCAGAGCCGTAACGCAAGAAATAGCCTGGTATGGAAGGGGGGTAAATCCTCTGGAGGGCAAGTGATTAAACTAGCATATTTAGTGAGATAAGACAGGGAAGGAGCTATAGACTGGGGTGGGAAGACAGTCACAGACGTGGTCTCAAAACTGTTGCACAGTGATTTAGAAAACCCAGGTCTAGATTTAGGCCGTTATATTTTGTATCAAATAGAAATATCATTCTTAGATCTAAAGTTTTCTTTTCCTGAATAGTTTCGAAATTTCCTTTAAGAACTTAGACATTGAGGTCTTCCACAGTGTGGCCTGGTTGTGAGAAATGATGTCCCACAGATGTGCAGAAACATCTTCCTTATGCTCCTTGATGGTGTATCTGAGCAAGTTCACCCTTGTTTGCAACTTCTGTCCTGTTTTGCCAAGGTAAGATTCTTTGCTACATTTATTGCATTGGATGAGGAACACAACATTACTGGAGGTGCAGCTGTATGATCCGATGATATTGAAGTTCCCTTTTGTGTGTGTGACACTTTTTGATTGATTTGTTTGCATAGTTTTTTATTGCAGGGTTTGCTTCCATTATATGTGACTTCATGATCAGAATTAAGTTTCCTGTTGATTAGTTTATGTCTTAGGTTGGGTGGTTGTCTGAAAGCCAGCATTTGGAGGTTGCGAGAATATTTCTTTTAGAGTTTCATTCTCTGTTATGATGGGTTGTAAATCTTTGATGATCTTTCTTATCCCTTCTTGTGCTGGATTGTATGTGGTTACTAGAGGTACATGGTTATTTGTTTTTTTCTCTTTGTATTAGAGTAGATTTTCTCTTCAGGTTTTCAAGGCTGGTATTGATGGTTTTGTCCTTGTAACCCTTCTTATGGAAGGAGTCTGCTAGTGTCCTGACATGTTTATCTTTGTTTTCTAGGTCTGAACATTTTTGGTTGTGTTTGATGGCTTGGCTGTGTACAATGGCCATTTAGTGTGTTGGGGGTTAAAACTGGAACTGTGGAGATTATTCCATCTGTCAGTGGGATTCCTGTATATTGAGTTGTGCAGCTTTTCATCTCTGATGTGTACTGTAGTGTCTAGGAAGTTGACATGTGTGTTTGAATAATGTTAGTGCAAATAAAAAAAAATATCACTGACAGTACTCAATTGTTTCTAAAAAATTTTTTCTACTTTCTGCTATAAAATATATCAAATAAAAAATCAAAAAATCTAATTTATTCATAAATGTAGGCAAATATGTATTCTACTGCATATATTTGGTACAAAAACACCCAATACTGATTGGTTTACCCGAATGTTATAGTGTCTACAAACTATGGTATATATATTGGAATTTTTATTTATTTAATTTTTTATACTAGTAATGGTGGTAATCAGTGACCTATAGTGGGACTGCGATATTACTGCAGACAATCTGACACTAACTGACACTTTGTGAGAACCAGTGACACTAATACAGCGATCAGTGCTAAAAATATGCACTGACACAGTACAAATGACACTGGCTGGGAAGGGGTTAAACGTCTAGGGCGATCAAAGGATTAAACGTGTGCCTAACCAATGTTATTGTGTGTACAGTGTGCTGCTTTCACTAAGGGATGAGCTGGATTGTATTCCCTGCTTTGCGTTGGGTGGCACTCACTGATTGGCTTGTACTGTGTCTAATCACAGCACAACCGGGTTGCTGGAGGTGCGCACGCACCCCCTATCTATCAGGCCTTGCCCTTTGTTTCCTCTGCAGCAGAATAAAGGGGTCGAGTCTATTCTACAGGCTGTGCTAATACATCTTAGGTTGGATTACATAATTCCTAGGGGGTATTACATCAAACAAACAAAAATCTATCACACTGTTGGTTAAATTCAGAAGTAAGAGGGAAATTTCTCCAAAGCAATTATGGAATTATACTTTACCAATAAAGCTATTGGTGGCTAAATTTGGAGCCACAACCCAGGAAAGCTGTTCATGTGATGGACCTGTAAAAGATATGTAGAGGGCATTTAAGGAAATCAGTTGAGCTTCTTAAATTGATATGGCGATATGTATGCGAGGGTGATGATGATGATTATCTATGTAAGCTGATGAGCAGAAGAGAGAGCGAAGATCCCTTTTCTCTCTGAACCTCCCTTTTAATTCCCAAAAGTTCTTATCTAGTGACTAGCCTAGAGGGTGTTGTTTGGAATATTTTCTCACATCTGATAGGGGAGTAATATTATCGATTAACTTAATGTTTACTCCGTCAGTCAATTAGATTTTATTCAATTCAGTCTTATATGGGATATAATATTTTTAATCCCTGGTTTAATCTTATTATGTAATTTTACCTTTAGGGTGTTTATTTGTATTCCCTGGGGTGATTAATATTATTTGGAATAAAAATCTTTATTGTACTACCCTCTTAATCATGTAACATTGGCTAAAGATGTGTGATTTTATCCAGTGATCCATGTTAAGATATTAATTAATACTCCTGAAAGGATGTTGGGACAAATCTCATATTATAATTCCCCATCTCACTTCTGAACCATACAAATTACAAAACACAGATGTTCAAAATTAATGTTAAAGTGCAAATATTCTTCCACCTCCTACCCTCCAGGTAGGCCCATTCTTAGTGGCATTAGTTCCCTGCTCTCTAGGGCAGGTGAATATACAGATTTTTTCCTGCAGCCATTAGTTGTTGAAACTCCAGCTTTCTTGAGGAATACCAAACAGTTTTTAAATGACCTGTGTTTTGGCAGCTTTGCTACTGCACCTATTCACTTGGTTCTAAGATTATAAATGTAATAAGTGATTACAACCTTTTGTCTATACATGAATTTTGCCAATCCTGATGTGGCTAATACCAATAATGATAATACCAAAATGATAACAACTGTGCAAAAAATAAAGATCTAATTTATTTACACAGAAAATAAGCTTGCTATTAATCAAATATAACAAAATATAATGTAGCCGGTATAACTTTAAAAGTAGTAATATTACTAGGCAAATACAGAATTGTTACCAATACAAAAAGATGACTACAAGAAAGAAAGTTACAGAAAAGAAACATAGAATAATACGTTACGCAGACATCCTGATGACTGGGCTTCCAAAGAGACAAAGGACAAATAGGCAGAAATGTGAGCAATGGAATACTTTATACCCCATCCCCCTCCATTCCAGGTAGTCACACCCTTCAATAGGTTCCAGTATTTTTCCATTTCTGTTCAAAGGGGGGCTCTGTGATTTGTGAAAGATATTGGCCAACTGTACAGGCCAATGTCCAGGGAAGCATACCTCCTTTGAAGCCAGTTCCCACAGGAAGATCTATGACAATACCCTCTAGGAGGTGTTAGAAATGACAACTCCAGAGCTTATTCAACCAGGTGGCCATACTGTCATAAACCTCTACAGGAAACCTACTAAGGGGGGTGTTGAGATGATGCAACAGATGGTAAAAAGGTTGCAGGAATTGAGACCCCTATCAGAAGTTCACAATAATGTTAAAAATTATTGTAGGCCCAAAATATCTATCACACCTGTGTGACGTTAAAACTGACCCCTATGCCTACCTTGGCATGGCAAATGTTGCCTCACAGTATAGTAATATTGGGCATGGAGATAGGATGGAAGCTGTTGATTTTTATTTAAGGGAGGTTGAAAGTATCCCTAGTGTACAGAAGTAATTAATTTTACAGTTACTCAATTTAATTTATGGTTCGACAAATCATTTTATTTGCAAACCAAGGGCGTTGTCATGAGCCCCAGATGTGAGGAGGATATCATCTATTCTAGGGATTGGCCAGAGGTTATTTTTTACCAGCGGTTTTTAGATGATGTTCTTTTTTTGTGGCAAGGTGATGTGGGATCACTTAATAATTTTGTTTAGATCAAGGTCACCTTGCTTGAATCTAGTTCTACAAGGAAAAGCTATGACATTAATTCTTTTATCATATGTAACACAAGACATGTGGTATACCTACTGGAATGCCATTTGGAAAAGACAGTCTATTGGGAGGACAACTAGGATATTGTGGGACCGCTTAAGAGATCATCTTTGTTAAATCAGGAAAGGGTATGAAGAACAGTCCCTTTTGGCTCATTATAGGGAATGCCATCAGAAAGATCCAGCTGGTAGTACATTTGTGGGGATTGATAAGATCATCCCACATTGGAAGGGGTGTAGTAAACGAAGAGAGGTATCAATGTTGGAAACCAGGTGAATTTTTGAGATGGGTACATTGGCATCTCAAGGTTTCAATATTGCTATTGATATGAACTGTTTTATTGACAATAGTTGAAGTCCTTTCTTGTATTTGATAGTTTTTTAGTTTTTCAATTCTTTATTGTTATTTCCTCTTGTCTTTGGTGTATATATTTTTTATTAGGGATTTTTAGCATTATTATTTGTTTTGTATATTGTATATGTATTTTATTTGTGAATAGGTATGTTCCAGTTGCCTGCTTATTCTATTGTCATCACTTGAGGAGTTTTATAAAGCTCCTAGTTAATTTGTTATTTTATTTTTTGTTTATATAGATTGTGGATGTGTTTATATTTAGGCTATGGGAAAATGGCCACATGTTTTTATGGCTTTTCTAATTTATTTATTTTTCCTATTTGCCCTTTAAC